ACCCCGGACATAACCTGTGTTCCCTTCACTAGTGCACCCTCCCTGTGGTGCCGTGAAGGGGGGGGGGCATCATTGAGGATGACGCAATCAATGTGAGTCGCCACTCATCCGAGCATAGCGCAGTGTGGCCTTTAGGGCACCTTTCGGGATTAAAGTGAGGGGCCAGGAAACGACGTTCATTGGCGCGCTCCTTTTCCTTCCTCTCCTTGCGGCGATGAAAAGGAGTGGAAGGAAAAGGAGCCTAATGACGTGGTTTTCCGACCTCGTCCACCCGGAAATCTGGGACTGCCTTGTCCAGTACTGTGGGACTCTATCTAACCAGTGAAGTCAGGGCTAGTCCACCCATTTTTACCAACCATTCCTAGGCCATTGAATGTTGCCAGCTTTTCGTAGCACTAATTTTTCCAGGTTTTTCCGAAAACAATCCGACGAGGAACGTGAGCATGCTTTCAAGATCATGAAGATGCAAAATCTTCGTGGTGGACGAGTTGTCCTGCAGGCTGTGAACAAGCCCGAGAAGGACGAGTGGGGAACCCCGTTGGAAGCCTTCCAGGCAAGAAACATCTACGAATTATCATCCAATGAATCAGCACTTCCATAAACGCCGTCATTGTAGGCCGCATTAGCTCTCGAGAAGTTCAACAACCAGGCGTTACTCGACCTGCACGCTGTAGCAACGTCATGCAACGATCCGCAGTTCACTGATTTCCTTGAGTCGGAGATGCTTGAGGAGCAGGTTAGTGAGAAAACCACCCTCATCTGGAGGAGCCCTGCTCCCAGCGAGTAAATCTGACAAATTTCAGACCGAATCTATCAACGAGATGGGTAAGTTGGTAACGAAATTGAAGCGAGTCGGAGCAGGTTTGGGCGAGTACATCTTCGAGAAGGAGGAATTCGAATGAATCAACTAATCGACATCGATTTTTTTTACATCTGCACCAGTTTTGTTTTCCTACACGTGTTAATGTAATGTACAGTACCTGTTGCATGTTCATACCCCTGAATAAAATAGTACGTTTTATATCAGTTTCGGATCAGCTTCAAAAAGACCTAACTGAAAAAATTCACTGCTTGGAAACAGGCATGAGCGCTAGCGTGGTAGTTTCCTCGTAGATGTTCAGTCACCTGCGACGTCGCGCGGCGACCTCTTGCGCCGCGCGACGTCGCACGGCGCTAGTTGATACGAGTTCACTGAATGACGGGCCCTTCTTTGTGGCCACGGTAAAGGACGCTCGCCCGTTGCCAAATAAATCCAGAAAGGATTTTATTCAACAACCACAACAACAGTCAACATGTGTTGGGCTCCCTTAAGAACTCCCCTGGAAACTGAAACTTTGGAGTTTAACCAACAAAAAAGAAGGGGGAACAGAGAGGGTGCGCCTAACCAAAACTTCCTGGCGAATAAATTTTTTATGCAAAGAAGTTTTCAAAAAAGAAATGAACGTGCTAATGTATTTGGGGGAGGGGGGCGGCGGGTATGGAAAAACAAGGGACTCTGCGCAACTCTCGCGGTCCGCTCCTTTAGCCTAACTATAGACATTGGCTCAGAAGAATGAAGGGCGCCTAGTGGCCTGTGGAGTGCTCCCCAGTGAGGGAACGTCGTACGTTCGGGGATTCCCAGGAATTTGCTGGAGGGAGGAAGTTCGTACCAGAGAGGCGGAAACTTGAGGGAGGGTTGTGTTTCAACAAAATTTTCACAAACGGCAAGACTTGCACTGCGCCAAATACGTTAGCGCCGAAGTCAACTCACAATCAGCGTAGAGAAAGTATACAAAGCGGAGCAAACGTATATGAGGGGGGGGGGGAGGGAGGGGGTCGCCGATGTCTCCATGTCTTCCCTGCCTCCCTTCGACAACTTTGGTCGTCTGCGCTCCAGGCTTAGGCCTTTTTGGGGAAGGGATATCAAAGAGCGGCAGTGATCTCCTACCAACCGAATTACATTATACCCAAAAAGTCCGCGTAGCTCCGCTACGGCCACTGATGTTTCGCGTGGTTTTCGGATAAGCTACCTTGCGCCCATTCAAGTCTGTAACTGGTCCTGTAATATTCGAGTTGTTCACCAGAACATCTTTACCCGGTTCTGAGAGTATACAAAAAAAAACGGAACTCTGAATAGCGCCTTTCTTCACGAACTGTTGCGCTCGCCTTGCCACGCATGACAGATCTCCCACCCTCTCTATTGTCCGAATCCCTCCGCTACCCATTCCGGACCAAAAATCCAGCATTGAAAAATCTTACCCTGTCAAGTGGGCCCCTTAAAGGTCTCTGGCTGGTGGGTAATTCCGCGCTCCAGTGAGAACGGGATACCGTACCCGCACTGCTTGTTTTGTGAATTGCACAATCTGACTGAGTTTGACTCAGAATCAGCTTCTGGGGCAGTGCTTTGCGCTAGTCATGCTTATGTAATGATTTTATCCCTTTACCCGGTATAAAAACAGTGCTGGCAAGTCTTCTTGGACTCGTTATTTCTTCCAAACTTCATCTGTAAGCTGCCCTTAGATTTCATGTTGTACCTCACATAAATTCTTGTTCTCAAGTTGTCGCTTTTTCTTTACAAGAAATAATTGGAAAGGGTGTTAGGCCCCTATTTAGATCAATCGGACCATCTTGTAATGTCTAGGGAGGTCCTTAGGAAGATGAGAAATGTTAGAACCTCAATTTCCACGCCATTTTTTTCTGTTTGGATGGCATTTAATGCAGAATGGTGCGAAGGCAGGACTGTGAGTCAAGAGCTAAAGATTTCAGCCTATTCCTAGGAAGGGGTGCGGAAGGAACTGCGGTGTGAAGGAATCCCTATACTTGTGTGAGCGATATCTTGTTCGGAACAGGGCACGTTCTGCCGTTGGAAAAGTTTTGCAAATACGACCACCCTCTCCTTTGGTACGACCCCCCCCCCACCCCTTCACCATCACCATTCTTCCTGCTATCTATCTAAATTCTCCTAACTTTCTCCCACATTTCTGACGAAATTCTTCAGTTTTTCCCAAAAAAAACCGCCGAGTGAAAGCGAGTGAACGGGGGGGGGTGTGGGAGGGGTGGTTGTAAAGCGCCAGTAAAACGGTGTAAATGGGAAAAACAAAGAGAATCCAACAACAAAAACATTTTTTTCGGTAGGGAATACCTCCCCGCCCCTGCTACGTCAGCACCTTCTGATGAAATAGCAGAACGCCCAATCAAGGCTCAATATTGTGTGTTTCGCAGTAAATCCTGATTTTCGCTATATTCTCTGTTCAGCTACATTCCATATCCTGGAGATGAAGGGGCGTGGCTGCGTACCCTATTTGAACGTAGGGCTGCGCTGTGATTCTCCATCATAAAACAGGATGACAGTTGTCTCAAACGAACATATCCCACAAAAAGCGCATCCCACGCCATGTTCAGATGAAGTACGCAGCTACTCCTCCCCAACTCCAAGATATGGAGTGTCCTTTTCCTCTCTCCATTACTTTTCTCAGTTATTCCGCAGGTTTTTTTCCAAATAAACAAGTCATCAATTTAGAAAGTACTATTTGCAGGGTGAACATAGTTCTAGCTAGGAGCCTATTCCATCATGACTAAGCTGTACATTTGTCCTGACACTGGTTCAGACGAAAATGACGGTACCGAGGAACGACCTCTGAGCACGCTTTTCCAGGTTTTTCTCACTTGCTTCTTCTTATTTCGGCGCTGTTCGGCTTGGAAGGGCACTATTGCACGTCCTTTTGCTAATATGTAGTAACTAGCAGGTCGTATCTTGGTGAGACCTGTTAGCCCTTGTGAAGGACCAAGTTGACCATCTTGGTTGCAAGAAGTTACGGGGGGGGGGTGTTCACGCGGGTGGCCTGTATAGGCTTCGCTGCTTATCATTTGGGGCCCCCACTGAGCCGAGCTACACCCTCATGTCCTCACCTAGCCGAACACGCCCTCCTTGCTTTTGACGTATTTCCAGCTCTGTTCGTATCACTTGGCATCCCATTATGTTCTAGGCCATGATGTTATCGAAGAACTCTGGCGAATTCCTGGCCCGAACCGTGAAGGAGGACGGCTCGAAAACGTGGGAACCAGCTGCCAAGGCTGCCATCAAGAAGAACTTGAAAAAGTTGGTTTTCTCTATATTTATGCCGTAGTGTTTCGCCATTTTTCACTTTCTCTCAGATACGAAGCTGAAATGAAGAAAGCGGAAAAAGCTGCAGGACG